TATAATAGAAGATTTGAAAGAAGAAACAACTGTTACGCTTATATGTAACTCTTCAATTTTCACATTAATTATATGATCTATTTAAAGTCCTGAAACAGCCTGCAAAGGAAGCATTTTTCTGCCCTGTTTATAGATGAGGAAACGGAGGCTCAGAGGAGTTGAGTTACTTATCCAAAGTCATACAGCTAGAAAGCAATGGGCAAATCTAAGTTATTGATCACAAACCGGGATCTCTTTTCATAATTGTGCCCTGAGGGTGGGATGAGCATGCAAACAGACAAAACAAAAATCATAGTAACACATAGAGAACAAAGGACTGAATGACATGAAGGCCTAAAACAAGAGAGATACCACAGAGGAACTCCAGGCAAAGGTTGTTGGAGGCTCAGAGTCCTTAAGATCTTTCTTTGTGGGTCATAATAGAAATCGTTAGAACTAACATTTCTGAGCATTTAGCCAGGTATTGTGCTAAATGCCTCATGAGCACTATTTTCATTTAAGCCTCACAACAATCCTGTGATATAGGTTTTACTATCATCCTCATTTTATAGATGAGAAAATTACGTGTCTAAGATCACACATCCTGTGAAAGGATGTGCTGAATTTGAACCCAGGTCTATCTAACCACAAAGACCTTACTGTAATTTATGCCACAGTAACGCTACAAGTGTTTCCTGGCTCCAGGGACAATAGGAGACCAGCAAAGCAACATTCCATTGTAGCCATGGAGGGGTCTGAGGGACCAAATGCCTGTGCCCACACTCCTCACCAGAGTGCTAGGTGAAGGTGACAGAAATTATGTGACCCAGATTATTCAGCCATGGGCCCCTTCTCCAATACCCTCACATGTTCAGATTTCTGGTTGAGAGAAAACAGACTCCAAAGCATAATCTCTCCTCTAGCTCAGTAGACAAATTTCTTACAGACGGAAATGTCAAAGCTTGTCCATCACCCAGGGAGCTGGGGCTCTTTTGCCCATTCCTCTCTCTACTTCCTTGTTTCCCCTCATTTCCTCCGTTGTCTACATCTCCAATCCCCATGCTCACGTTTTCCGGCTCTTTGTCCATTTAAAACTTATTTTTATGCCAAACAAACAAACAAACCAGGAAGACTGTACCATCCAGTTCTGGTAACCACTAAGGCAAGTGTGCCTCCTAGTGGGAGGAGCTCTCATTGTCCTTCTTGAATTGATTTCAGCTTCAATATCCTCAGGAAAACTCGAAGAGTGGGAGGTAGAGCAGGGGAGTGTGCCTCTGAAGGCTGGTCTTGTGTATATTTCTAGTTTTGGTAGGTTTTCATTTATACATCAGCACTAGAATGGACCACACACATCATCTGGTCCTGTACTTCCTACACCCGTTGGAGCAGTAGGCAGGCAGGCTATGGTGTTAACAAGAACTCAGATGATGAGGATCAGCCCTCTTGAAAAGGGCTACTTCCAAAGGTCATGCAGCCTAAGCCAGTGATTCTCAGCCCTAGCTGAACATTAAGACTAGCTGGTGCCCAGGCCCTACTCTGGACCATTGGTGGTCAGGCCCCAGATCTGGTATTAAATATTAATAAAATTAAATATTCCTCCCCATACTCTTGTAATTCCCATATGCAGCCAAGGTTGAGAAGCAATGGTTTCTGTTGACAATGGCCTACACTACTTCTAGACTGCCTCAGAACCTACTGGACTGGAAGTTTTGAGGGAGAGGTCTAAGAGCCTGTATTTTAAAACAAGGACCCAAGGTGATTTTCATGAATAGTGAGGTTTGCAAAGCCCTACGTGACTCCTGGGTCAGGGTCTAGGGAGGTGTCAAACTGGCCCCAGGTCTTGCAACTATTGGAAAGTGGGACAGACCTAGGATCCAAGTCACCAGCTCTGGGGTAATGGAGGCCAAGATATGTGATGCCCGGGCCTGGATTCCAGGCTCATAAGCCTGAAGGAGGGGCTCATTCCTCCTTCTGTTGCTTGTAGTACTTACTCTCTACAAGAAGTCCTTGGATCTTCTCAGGGCCTCCAGGCAGGTCAGCTCAGTCCTACCCAGACATGAGCCCACAGGCTTGGCCTTTGTCTCTGCCTTGCACCATGCCCATCACTGGAGAGGCAGTCAACACTGGTGTCCTGCAGTCCTGCTTAATTCCCGTGCCCCACTGTCTTAGGTTGTTGACCAGGCCACCCCAATTCCCAGATTCTCTTCTTCTAGCAATGTTGTCTGTCCAGAAGGCCTGAGGGTATTGAGACTGAACTGTGTTTCTCTGAGAGATTCAATAACCACTTCCACAAAGAGCATTTGAGTCCATCCTGGAAGTGGACAGAGGTCCTGGAATTCTCTAGGACACTGTTGGGGATTTGGATACCCCTACCTCTGACATCCCTGATCAGCTACAGAAAGAGCTGTGTAAACCCTGATCAGATAATATCACTCTGCTGCCTGAAAGTCTGCAGAGGTCCCAACTAGGAACTCCTTAGGGAGGCTCATCCAGCCTGCCCCAACCTCCCGCAACTTCATAGCAACACATAGAGAGCAAAATGTTGAATGGTATGAATGCCTAAATCTTACTCCCAAGATTTCTACAATCTTCTATACAACACTTACAGTAAGGGGTTTGGAGGTAAGAAGAGGACTCAAATCCTAGGGCCCAGCACATGCCAGCTAAGAGTACTTCTACAAGCTTGTAAATTCTTCATTTGTAAAAAGCACAAAGTCATAACATCAATAATGGTGGTGCCTTCTGATGTTTGAGAATCAATTGATAGATTGTGCATTAGAGTAGTCTATAAATAGTGCTAGATAAATGTGTACCCTGTTTTGCTCAGTTACTTTTCTACCTCTGTACCTCTGCAGATGCTGTTCCTATAGAAGGTTTCCTCATCCCAGCTCTGCATGCTCCCACTCCCAGTTCCAATTACTCTTGGCCACAGACTGCCTGGGCACTTCTTGAGTTCATGCCTACATGCTGCTACTTATTAGTTGTGTGACTTTGGGAATACCTGAAACTTCTCTATACTTCACTGTGTTTCCAAATCTTGTGTTATCACAAGTATTAAAAAGCTAAACAAAAGGGAACTCAGTTGCCATTAATTGACACCAACTCATGGTTCCTCTATCTGTGCTCCATAGAATTTTGAAGGGACAATTTTTTGGAAGTAGAAAGATGGGCCTTTCTTCCAAGGTACTTCTTGGTGACTTGAACCTCTAATCTTTTGGTTAGCAGCTGATTCTCTAGGTTTACACTACCTGGAGACTCTTTCACAAGAATTAATCTCCCAGACAGACAACAAAATCTCCCAACTCATTGCTTTGCAGTGGATTTTGACTCATAGTGACCCCTCCTATTCAATGGAGTTGTTCCGTGCTGTTTAGTTAGATCTGACTCAGAGCAACCCCATGCACAATAGAATGAAATGCTGTCTGGTCCTTTGTCAGCCCCACAATTGTTGTTATGTTTGAACCTATTGTTTCATACACTGCGTTGTTCCATCTCATTGGAGGTCTTCCTCTTTTTCACTGACCCTTCACTTTACCAAGCATGGACTAGACTCTCCTGATAACATGTCTGAAGTATGTGAGATAAAGTCTTGCCATCCTAGCTTCTAAGGGAAATTCTGGCTAGACTTCTTCCAAGACAGATCTGATTGTTCTGGCAGTCCATGGTACTTTTCATATTCTTAGCCAACATAGTTAATTCAAATGCATTATTTCTTCTCTGGTCTTCCTTGTTCATTTTCCAACTTTCATATGCATATGAGGCTGTTGAAAATATCACGGCTTGGGTAAGACACACCTTAGTCCTCAACGTGACATGTTTTCTTTTAAACATTTTAAACAGGTCTTTTGCAGGCGATTTGCTTGGGTTTGATTTCTTGATTGCTGTTAGTGTTAGGTGCATAAAGAACATAAGATGATGGGATAGTACTACTAAGGTGCATGCATTGTCTTGCACTGGCACCTCGTTGTCATTGACTAAGAGGACAGAAAGCTTATTTCCAGCATCTTTTTACTCTGGAACCCCTAACACCCAACATTAGTTCTGAAAATGCTGAGGTAAGGATGCCGACAGAGACCTAGAGATTTCTGAAGTGAGGGTGCCACCTACTGGTCCAACTCAAAGGCCAGTGCAGCCGTTACTGGCTGTGGACTTAACTTCCTTTGTGAACTCGGTGCCAGTCAGGGACTCTTTGGCAGAGATATTTACATATGTTATTCACATCATGTATGTGATGTCTAGGATTATCACCAGTAAAGACACTGACACTATCAGACTCACATGATTTTATTACAAAAAAAGTACCAAAGTGCTGAGCGCAGTCTAGGTCAGGCCTGTTTGCAACTTCCAGAGGCAGATACTGGTAGGCCATTCTTCCGCCATACATCTTGAAGGATTCAGTACTGATCTTGAGGGGTCACTTCTAGGGGCAGCAGAAAGGGAGCCACATAAGGGAAGCGGTCCTCACAGCTCAGAGGAGCAGGGACTCTTGGTCATTTGTGGCCCAACTTTTCAGTCTTGTTGCCAATCGCTTTATGACAATCGCTTTGCATGTGCCAAGCACTTTTTCTGGGTTAACTAATTTACTCCTCATGTCAAACGTATGAGGTAGGCACTACTACTGCTCCCCATTGTTTTACAAAAGAGGAAGCTGAGGCACAGAGAAGTTAAGTAGCTTTGCCCAAAGGCACCAAGCCAATGAATGGTGGAGCTGAGATTCAGAGTCAGGTACTCTGGCTCCAGAGCCGATGCTGTTACTCACCTGTTACGCTACCTGTATCCTCTACTTTCCTCCTCTGTGAAATGGGAATGACAATCCCCGATTCCCTGGGTTATCATGGGGGCTTGAATAAGAGCCCAGGTGCCAATATGCCTAGACAATTCTAACCATTTGTCCAAGGGTTGTGGACCACCCATGACCACTAGAAGTGCCCACCCCATAAAGATGCGAAACTCCCGCTGCATCTTCTCCAGGTAAGCACCCCTCGTTGAGCTGGCGCGGCCTGTTCGGCAGGTGGGCAGGCCTAGGGCTGGAGTTCGTACTGTTGCTCAGTGGCCATGAAGTAGTCCTCGAGCACTGACTGCAGGAATTCGAAGGTGGGCCGCTCCTCGGGCCGGCTCCGCCAGCACTCGAGGATGACGCTGCCGTACAGCTCCTGTGGGCACGAGTCTGGGCGCGGCATGCGGTAGCCATACTCCAGGTTGCGGATGACCTCCGGGTTGCTCATGCCTGTGAGGGGGAGAGAGCTTGAGTGAGCTGCTGGCCACACAGCAGGGCCACAGGGAGGAGAATGGAGTCAGAATGGCCCAATGGGAGCACCAGGCCAAGGAACTGTGTTAAAGTTGTGTTAAAGTCGCTGTGTTAAAGTTATAGACCACTGTCTCCCCATTTTAAAATACCCTGTCTGTTCAGCTGGCGCTGCTTTTAAACATCCATCTATCCATCCATCCATGCTTATTTTTCAGGCGCTCTATTCAATCTATTCAAAGGGCTCTGGCAAACATAGCGGGTTGCCAGTCTGGCTGCTAGCCACAAGGTCAACAGTTTGAAACTACAAACTGCTCTGCAGAAGAAAGATGAGGCTTTCTGCTCCTGTAAAGATTTACAGCCTTGGAAATCTTTGGTTTTGGTCTGCGCTTCAACCCTATACAGGGTTACTATGAGTTGGAACCAACTCCACAGCATATAACTACCACCTCCACTGCCATTCAATCTATTCAATTTTAGTCAACCTTGGAGAACAACCAGGAAAAAAAAAAAAAAGCTATAGTTATTCTCCTGAGTACAGGGCAATTCCTCAATGCATAAGGCTGTTTCAACTATCTGTGATGCTTAAGAACCCAATCAAAATCCATCACTCACTGGGTAGGTGCGCCATGAAAACTCATGAAATGGCTGACTGAAAGAGACCCTGCAGGCTGAGAAATTGCCCAAGCCTTTCTGATCAGGGGCTGGGGAACTGGGTAGTCTAGATTTGACAACTGTGCCACCTCAGAATGGGACTTTTGGGGATGCACCATGTATGACTATGGATAGCAACCTGAGAACAGCCAATGGGAGAGAACTTGAATTCAGATCTTGACCTTTAGCTTAATTCTAACTTGTAGGCTCATTGATCTGTGTTGGAGGAAGGGGTTGTATACCTGGTGCGAGAACCCTCCCTCCAGAGTGGGATGTTTGGGTGTCTGTACACACAGTTGGGGCTCCATTCTGACGAGTAGGTGAGCAGCCATAGGATGGGAGTCTGCCATCAGAGGCGTCTCAGAGCAGCAGGGGACATGGAGCCATGCTGCAGGATGCAGCTGCCTACCTGGGTATGGCACACGCCCAAAAGTGACAATTTCCATCAAGAGGACTCCAAAAGACCACACGTCTGATTTTATGGTGAACACCCCATAGTGGATGGCCTCTGGGGCCGTCCATTTGATGGGGAACTTGGCACCTATGGGAAAAGCCAGGAGCAGGTTTGTGAGGCGATGAATGCACACAGCTTCCCATCCCTCTCCACTCTCTACACTTCTTGTCTTTCCATCCTGCCCCCATTGCCATAGCCTGACAGGACATGACAGAGGTGCATCCAGGGAGTTACTAAGACACACTAAGAAACATGACTAGGCAAGTATGTTGTTGTTAAGTGCCATTGAGTCAATTCAGACACAGTGATTTTTATCATAAAGGCCCATCTGTACAACAAATACCATACCCCTGAGAACCCAATGGAGCGCAGCTCTACTCTGATACCCCTGGGATCTCCATGAGTCTGAATTGACGAGATGGCAGCAGTTTGGGTTTGAGTTGGTCATTCTCTTTGAGTTCTTTAAAAAGAGAGCAAGTGGGCTTCACTGAGCAACATGTCCTTCCTTCCATGCAGGACAGAAATGTCCTTTCCCACCTGACTTGGGTTTTGTTTATAAAAAGTAGAGCCCGTGACTTGGGCAAATCATTTAAACTTGTCTGTGCCTTAACTGGCACATTGGTTAGGCACTCAGCTGTTAACTGTAATGTCAGTGGTTCCAACCCACCAGGCACTCCACAGGAAAAAGAGGAGGCAGTCTGTTTCTGTACAGATCTAAAGTCTTGGGAATGTTATAGATCCATTTTACTATGTCCTAGAGGGTCGTTTTGAGTCTCAATTGACTCAAAGGTAGTAGGTTGGGTTTTATTTTGGTCTGTGCTTCCTTTCTTGCCAAATGAAAATAATGATTTATGGCTTACATACCTCCTCGTGTCATTGTGAGGAAGGAATTAAGTTCCTGCTGCCCAGGAAAAGCCCTGCAGATAGTGCCAGGCCCCAGAGACCTCCCCTTTCCTGGACCCTTGTCAACATTCCGAGTAGACCACATAACTCAGCGCTTGATTGCCTTTTACTGGGACTTGCTTTCTTAGTCTCCCCTGCTCGCCTGCAGTTCCAGGCAGAAACAAGCCATACCTATCCTTCTCCTGAATCAACTCTTCATGTACTCAGCTAATATTAGTTAAGTGATTGATAAATATATTTGGCCACTCCAGATCTTCTTGTAAATGGGATTTTATCTCAGTTCTATCAACAAAATGAAGCAGAAGTGCTTAATGAATGCTGTCATTCAAATATAAGGGTTTTTGTCCAAGCTTTAGAGCAGTGTTTTCTATGAAACTCTCCTTGTGTGGGATTTAATAAGAGCTGAATACAAAAATATTCTGGGCTCAGATTAGTTTAGGAGGCCCCAGGTGAAACAAAGGCAAACTGTTTCTTTGTTTCAGGATTTCTCAGTGTCTTTAGCATGCTTATATACATTAGGAATCTCCAATCTCTAAGAAATAATCAATACAGTGTCTTCCAATCTACTTCATCACAGAGCTATTTCTCAATGCAACATCTTGAGGTACTAGTGTTCTAGAGAACACCTTTAGAGAAATGCTGATCTAGATTGGACTAAGACCAGAATTGTCGAAATGACACAGCTCTCAGATCTCCTTACATAGGACTCTGTTACATGGTGTCAAGAAAAAGCCTCAACAGGAGTAAGATTCATTGTTTTCCGTGTGTTGGGGACTCTGCTCACCCTCTTGTGCAGTATATTCACTGTCGATGATCCGAGCCAATCCAAAGTCAGCGATTTTGCAGCACAAGGTCTCAGATACTAGGATGTTGGCTGCTCTCAAGTCACGGTGGATTGAATTCCTCTGCTCAATGTATGCCATTCCTTCTGCAATCTGAGGGAAGAGGTCATAGTACAGTGTGAAGAACAGTGTGGTCTCCTCCACACAAGCCTATCCTTCACTCATGTGCAGCCCCTATGGGTTGAGAGGAACAGTCTGTCCTGCCATTGTCCTTATCCACCAGTCTGTCTGTAGAACCATCTTTCTGTTGCTCACAAGGATGAAAGAGGAAGAAGGCTCAGGTGTGTGTGTCTTTGTGTGTGTGTGTATGTGTGGATCTGGGTGTGGTTCTGCTGTTGCTGAATAAGCCTCAGTCTGCTAGAAGGGCAGAGTGGGAGGAACCCAGCCCCTTGTTATCAGAGACACAGAGGTTCCCTCTAGTCTCTCACCACACTTCTCTTGAAGCTGCTTGTCAAGTGTCTGCAGGGGAGTGGGATAGCAAAATGAAGGCAGGGGAAAAGGAAGTTCTCTTGGAAGGAAGAAGCAAAAAAGCGTTGGCAGTTAGGAGAGAGGAAGGCAGATGGGAAAGGAAAAAAATTCATCTCCATGAAAAGTTGGAAGCGCTCTTCTTGGAGCCAGGATTTGCCATTTTGATCTTAAACACATTGCTTGACCTCCCTGTGGAACATCAGAGAAGTGGTCTTCAGGGTACAAAGTTGAAGTGAGAATTGGAAGAGAGGACATGTGGCAAAAAAAGGCCAGTACCTTCCTGGACAGGTACTCAGTGAGCGTGGGCAGAATTGGAAGGAAGTCAAATGAGAGGAGACCTGCCTCTGTTCCCTGGATTACCAGCACTGAGCCAAGAAGTGACACTCTAGTGCTTTTTAGCCATGGAACCTAAGCAAGACTTTATTGACTGCATTACCAACTGATGGGTGAAAGAACTGAGGCAAGGAATACAGCATCAATTTACCACCATGAACCTGCAAGAAACTCATTGGAACGGATCCCACTTCTTATGCTCTTATTTGCCATTACTTTATTAATAAATCATTCATTTGTTTATACTTCATTTATTTCTTCACTGAATTACACATCAATATACATTTATTAGTAAAGTGCTATGGGGGAATATAAAGTTCTATGCTAAATGTTTTATAACTAGACAGCCTCTCATAGTACATATTCTGTTAATAATATTTATTGAACACTGCTAGAAATTTTTAAAAAATTGAGTAGGGCCCAGATCTGCTTTCCAGAAGAAGGAACTAATATGCATAAAACTAATGAGAAGTTCTGGTATGGCGCTATAAGATAAGAACTGGACTGCTAATCACAAGGCTGGTGGTTCAAACCCACTGGCCACTCCTTGGAAACCCTATACAGGGTCTCAATGAATCGGAAACTACCTGCAGGCAATGAACAACAATGAGAACACATGAGCGAAGTGCTCTCTAGAAGTTTCTTGCCCAGGGAAAAATAGAAGTGGTATTTGACTTGGTCATGAATGTCGATTAGGATTCTGCCAGATGCAGAAGAGAGTCAAGAGAGGCATGCTGGGCAGAGGGTCAGTTTAGGTAGAGGTTCATGGGGTGAAAGTGCACGTTGTCGTGGGACTCCAAAGTAGGACACTTGAGCCTGTGGTTGGAGGTGCCTCCTGGGACAGCCAGGGTGGCCTTGGAGAAAGAGCGTTGGGAGGCTTTGCATTTCATGTTGTGGAATAAGATGATAGAGACCTTGAGTTTGCATGTGTGCTTCAGGGAGGGAGCTCTGGGTGGTGCTAATGATGAATGTGCTCAAGCTGAAAGATTGGAGGTCAGATTCCATCCAGAGGTGCCTAAGAAAGGACTGGCAATCTATACCTGGAAAATCAGCCATTGAAAATGATGTGGAGCACAGCTGCATTCTGACACACATGGTCACAGTAACTGATACTGATTGCTGGCAGGTATGTGGCAAGGTGTTAGCATGATCAGTATGTGTTTTCTATGTTTTTAAGTTGGGAGGTTCTGATTTTCTGGTTTCCTAAACCCAGGCTCTTCACAACATTTAGGCACTGAACTTGGATGACTTTTCATCTCTTTTGCCCCTGGGTGACCTAAATGTCCCAGGGGCTGTAGTAGAGATTGAATAAGAGACAGATGGAAATGACAGAAAGAAAATAAATGAAAAATAAGTTCACAGGTTTATCACTGTCATGTGGTTTGCAACCAGTTGCTAGTGTTTACTTTTTGAAACCATCTTACCAGCCTTCTCAACACCCCTGCTTACCTCAATGGAAAAAGTTGTGGTGATATCAATTTGTGCATTGATACTAATAGAAGATAAAGGCAAATGAGGTGGGGAGGAGGTGACGGGGGTGGGGCAAGCTTCCGCTCTGTAGCTGGATGTGTGTGTGTGTGTGTGTGTGTGTGTGTGTGTGTGTGTTGATGCACCTTTCAGGCTGACCACAGACCAAAGCTTTTCTGCAGAGAGCCCCAGTTTTATCAGACACACGATCAAGGTCACCAGATGTGTTTTCTTGCCAGTTATATATAATTCTTGACTAAAGTCACTGGAGAGGAAAAGTCTCTCCTCTTCATTCTGAACTTCACTTATGAAGGCTGAGAAGTTCTGTATGTGAATCTAAGGAATGCACACACAGAGGACCAGTTCATGAGCAGTTAAAAAGATCTAATGCTTTCAACTCTCTGGTGTCAGGAGGATTCTGTAGGGCCCTACCACTTGTGTGTGGTTCATGCCTACTACCCATCAGCCAAAGGTCAATGGAATGGACCAACATTTTCAGGATCATCTCCTGCAGGAAGTGTTTGTGGGCACTATGAAAGAACAACACGAGGACATAACAAAAATACTTGTCTATTATGCTAAATGGAATTCTTGCTAACTTTCTATGGCAAAGAAGATGTCTTGTAGTATCCCTTCTCCCTTTCTCTCTTACTCACACCTCAATCTATATGGCTGTCCAGAATTAAGACTACATTTCCCAGGGTCCTTTGCAACTGAGTGTGACAATATGACATAGGGGCTTGTGGGATTTAAGAGCAAGTATAGTGAATAACTTCATGGACATGGAGGAAGGTGGGCTTAGTTTTCCTATTGGCTGCAAATAGGCTATGATGGTAAAGCCTGAGCACCCATCTTGGATAATAAGATAACATGCCAAGGTATTCAGCAGAAGAAATCTGTTTTCTTCATGTCTTTGTGGGGATGGACCATCAATAACCCCAGACCGTCCTCCTCTTGATGTTTATATACCTAAGTCATTTTAAATTTGGGTTCTCTGTGCTTTGCATCTCAAACTAAATCTAATTGATTTAGAATCTCTAAATAGCTGATTATTTTGTTAAGCCATAGAAACACATGAAAAAGGGCCCGGAGGTTCAGGCCGCCATGAAGCCATTATTTTCTGGCCATCTCTATACTTGAAGTCCTGGTGTGTCACTATAGAATAAATACTGGACTGCTAACCACACGGTTGGTAGTTCAAACCCATCAAATGGTCCTTGGAAGCCATATACAGGGTTGCTATAGGTTGGAACCAACTTGATGGCACTTAACAACAACAGCAAAAACAACAATAAATCTCTACACTTGTTAGTTCACAAACCTGGGCTGACATGTCAATCAGTCTTGGGAAGGACAATCTGCTACCTTCATCCGTCTTCAAGAAATCCAGAAGGCATCCTAAAAAGAGAGATGTTTGCAACTCTACTTCTGCAAAATAAGCCACTACTTCTGTGCCAGCCTCTTCAGGAGGAAGGCAGGTGGTTACTCTCTCAGATTCAGCCACAGTTGCAGAATACCTTATACTCTAAGAAAATCCAATCTCAATCCTCACAGCACCCTAGGAAGCAGTTAGTATGCCTCCAGATGCCCAGAAGGGATAAAGTCTCAGCCAGTAGAAGGAACCCATCTGAGGTCACACAGCCAGGACAGCTGGAAATAGGAGTTGTTCTTCTAAATTTGATGCTGCTTCCTGACATGATTTCCCAATGCTAGGTGTCTTCATTGCTCTCTTGATCCTTTGTGACAGAGGTGTTTATCTTAGCAAGAAAACACCAGAATGAAGAGAACTGTCACTTGGGGTTTGGTACAAGGGACAAAGGCAGCTCTTTTATCTCATCAAAGACCTGGGAAGGGAGCTCATCTGAAATGTTGCTAAGAGGTGATCAAGGGAGCTATTGTAACCCCTAGTACAGTATCCCACGGTGATCTCCTTTCTATAAAATTTTAAAGAAATATATTAGCCTGGCTATGGCCATAAAGAAACAGTGTGGAGTTCTAGGCATGAGAGAAGCAAGGAAGTCAAAGGCCAAGACCATAGTTAGAGGTTTATTCCCCTCTGACCTCCACCAAAGACACAGGTCTGATCCCAGGCTCACTGCCCTCATGAGCATTTGGCCACACCATGAACCTCAGAGGCTATCTAGCCCAACTTCTTTTTCATACATTTTGTAAAATGTTGGCACAATTGTAAAGGGTCCCATGGCAGCTAAAGTGGCACTAGAACCACATCTCAAGACGTCCAGCCTACTTCTCTTTCAAATTTGCAGTGCTTTGCCCTCCATAGTAGGTATGACACAGGGCTGAGCACAGAAGAGATGATCCAGAATTGTTGATTGAACCAGTCCTGAACTGAGGACAGAACGCTATAAGAATGTACCCCTCTATTCACTCTACTCAAGAAGCTCTGGTAGCGTAGTGGTTATGAACCAGGCTACTAATCTCAAGGTCAGCAGTTTGAAGTTTTCACAGGAGAAAGATGAGGCGTTCTGCTTCCATAAAGATTTACAGTTTTGGAAACCCTATGCAGAGTCATTGTGAGTTGGAACCGACTTCACAGCACATAACCACTACCACCGACTCACTCTACTCATTCCCATACCCTCTCAACTCCCTCGCTTTGCTCATGGTTCAGCAATCTTCATGAAAATCCCTTCACCAGCAAAGCCCACAGCAGCTGGATAAGCCTCAGACTTCTATCTACTGAGCCTGGACTTCTCCCCATGCCTCCCAACTTCATTAAAGGAAGGAAGCCATGTGAATTACACCACCTCTGGCCATGTACTCGGTCACGATGTAGATGGGCTCTTTGGTGACCACAGCGTAGAGTCGGACCAGTCTCTCATGCTGGAGGGCCTTCATCATGTTGGCCTCACCAAGGAAGGCTTCTGGAGACATACTTCCCTCCTTCAAGGTCTTGATGGCCACCTTCATGTTGTTTTTGTAATAACCTGAACCCACAGGAAGAGAGAGAATTAAGAAACCATTAAGAAGACTGATAGGTTGTTTAGAGGTGATCCCTCTACCCAAAATCAACCTAAATTTTCAGGTGCTATTCCTGTTGCCAGAGAGGCCCACCATGGAAGTAGTCCTAGGTTGAATGAACAGTGTCTGAGGGAGGGGTAGGGACCAGGCTTATGCTGTAAAGATGCTGCAGCAGTTGTAGGTTCTCTTGCCCTACTGATGCTTCGGTTAGTTGAGGAACTTATCTTGCCTGGGAGTGGGGGCTATTTCACTTCTTTGCTTCCATATCCAAGGCCTGGGCTATATCCTTTTGTCCTTCATGCAGCCTGCCTCTTACCCCTCTTACTGTCCCCTATATGATGAGTCTCTTCTATCATATATAGTATGTTGTTGTTGTTAAGTGCTGTTGAGTTGGTTCTGACTCATAGTGACCCTGCATAGGGTTTCTGAAGAGCAGTTGGTGGGTTTGAACTGCTGGTCTGTGGTTAGCATACCAGTGCTTATCCTACAGTGCCACATCAGAAGTCTACATACAGTTTAATTTTAGAAAAAATAATTACAGCCTGAAGGGACATTATGAAGGTGGCAGAGGTGGCTTGGGTGAGTGGCTGGGGTCTCATTAACTCCTTTCTGTGTCTTTAAAATATTCCTTTCTGTTCCCTAGACTGCCTGATAATTTCATACTGCCCTGGAGTCCTGGTGTGGCACTGTGGGTTAATGTGCCAGACTGCAAAGCCATTTGAACTGCAAGGTAAGCCATTTGCACTGCAAGATCAGCAGTTCAAGCTCACCAGTTACTCCTTGGAAACCCTATACAGTGTAACTATGGGTCAGAATCAACTCCACAGCACTTAACAACAACAACTCTACCCGAATAGGTCCCCCATTCATACCCTCTCAGCCTCAAACAGGTTGAGAAGATGCATAACCATCTGATTTCCCCATCAGAGACTTAACACCCCGGTTAAATAGTAGAGGTATCTCAGGGCCCTACAGTGCTTTATAAGGGAGACATCAGGATCCTACTCTGAAATCATGACCCAGAGACATGGAACATTCAAGGAAACAAATAAAGCAGAATATTTTATATTCTGATAGTGCCAATGGTCATTAGGGGAACAGTTACCAAATGCAACTTAAATGTGAAAACATGGGGATATGGAAGTTAAGCCACTTGGCCAAAGACATTTAAAGATCAGTGCTTGGCCTTGCTCAGATCTTGGAACTTCTAGCTCACTATTTTTCCGTGTGTAATATACTATGAGCCAAAGCTAAGGGAAAAGAGCATTATACTAAAATTTCACACACAAGTCAATGGCAAAGCTAGCACTAGGCAGAAAAGAACAAAGAAAGGAATTGATTTAGGGGAGGGAGAGCTGGATTCTCTTCTCACTCTACCACCACAACAATGAGATAAATTATCACAATCATGGGCAAGTCATTTCAGTGTCTTTTGCCTTGATGACCTTGTCAGAAAAATGGGTATCTGAGTCTCTGTCCTTTTTCTCTCATAAACCTTTATGGGGCAAGTATGATGCACTGCCAAATGCTGGGCCTTTTGCCTTCAGCAAGCCCTTGTATATTTCAGGATGTAGAGCAGGACATGCTGCATACTCACCCATCCAGACTTCACCAAACTGTCCAGACCCAAGTTTCCTGACCAGTTTGAGAGATTGCCGGGGAATTTCCCATTCATCCTGGGCCCAAGGGTTCTGAGGAGCCAGACTCACACAGGGCAGGGTCAGCTTCTGGCACAAACCATTCCCCTTCTCTGCATTAGGGAAGAAATGAGGCTGGAAGTTACCAGGACAACCAAAGATCACACCTAGCAATGTCTCCACGGTCAGCTCCTCCCACCCCTACCTGTCAGCACACACACACTCACTACTTCTGCCTAAAGCAGCATATGCTGTCAATGACATTTATATTTAAAATACTTGTCACTCTTTGTGCGGGCATATGTTGAGTTGGCAGAGGGGATTAGGATCACTGATATTGAATCATTATCCTGAGAGTTGTCATCTCTGAAGTCCAGTCTTGGGCTAACTCCCCCTTCCTCATGTAGCACAAATAATTCACACAGTCTCGGGGTTTTAGTGAAAGAGAGATACGAGGCTCTGCTAGCAAATTCAGAATCCTGCTCTTACTAGAATAATACTGCACCAGGGCTTGGAGCGAGGGAAAGGTGATTCTGGGGGAGATGTAATAGCCTCCTTCATCCAGCATGCGGATCTTATAGTGTTTGATCACCTCCCCCTGGGTGGTTACATCCTTCACAGACAGCGAAAAGGCACCTAGAGGGTCAATAAAACACACTTGTGAGAGAAGTAAGGCAGAAAGATGAACTAACAGGATGGGGATTTGGGTTTCATTTCAATTCATTGAGAAAAGTTTCTCACATGCTAGTCTCCATTTTGGTACTACCATTGTAAGTTTCCTCTTCGGACCTCAAGCCTTCAGGAAGTCTTCCCTATCAGCTCCACCTGACTTTGTCCTTGATGTTGTCCCCAAAGATTCCAAAACACAGATATGGATTCACAAAATTCTGGAGTAGGCATAGCAGTCTCTGAGCAATCTATACAGGTCCCCTACTGAGGCACCAGGTCACTCTGGGCCCCTATGCCATAAAATATTGAGAAAAGTAAGGTCATTGTAAGACCTAGGTGCTGTGCCTAGTTATTTTTACTCCCACATACTATAGCAAATCATAGCTTCAAAAACCCACATCCCTGGAAGAAAGCAAAATAAACTGTTTCCCCAGTGTGTCTGCCTGTTCATATTCTTTTGCTGCGTGTCCATTTATTGTGTCATCTATGTTCAGATTTGCATGGAGACAAGTGGTAGCAGAAGTCAAGGGTTAGGAACTAGAAGCCAAAAGCGTTAATATTGAGAAACTTCTTTCCATTAACTTGATGTTTTCATAAAATATCTCTGTGCAGCTCCCTGGATGCTATGGATCCACTCCAAACTTTAATTTGAGAGATGAGGAAATGGAGGCTTAGAAGGATGATGTTGCTTGCCAAAGGTCACTCTGCTAATTAGACGCAGTGTGGGGACTGAGCTCAGGGCTTCCTGGTCCTCTCAAGGACCACAACCAATACCACATTTTCCCACCAGAGGTCGGGCTTGGGCATCTTTTTCTGTGAGTTTGGCTGCTTCATTTAGTCCTATAGGTCTTCAGGCATTGTTCCTTTTCTGTCAGATCATCAACCCTATTCAAACTCTGTCTGCTCTTCTGTTTATCTTAATCAATGTGTCTTTCTCATCACCTATTTGCAGAACAGGGTACCAAGCAGCCATCTGCTTAGCCAATGAACCTTGCCATTGCCACAATTAAGCCACACTGTAAGCCCCAGCTCAGATGCTATAAACTTTTCCCATCTCTCACCCCCACTGCAACCCAGGTTGGTATAACTGTACCTTCCAGCCTCTAGTGAACAAAATAGCTTAGTCACAGTGAGTTCATTCATCCATAGTACTGTAGTGGGGAAAAGGCTTTTCTCCTCAATTCATAGGCTGCCGAGCAAACAAGTTCATGAGAGCCAAAATATGACTTTGAATATATCCTATCTGAATTTAGAGACCAAGAACAAATTTGATGTATTAGACACTAATGACAGAAGACCAGAAGAATTGTGGATGACATCAAGAATACCTTAAAGGAAGAAAGAAGGAAAATACCAAAATGGATGTCAGAAGAGACTTTGAAACTTGCCCTTGAGTGTAGAGAAACAGAAAGTAAAAGAGCTGAGCAGAAGATTTCAAAGGGCAACTTGAAAAGACCATGTCAAATATTATAAGGAAATGCGCAAAGACCTGGAGTTAGAAAACCAAAGGGAAGAGCATGCTTAGCATTTCTCAAGTTGAAAGAACTTAAGAAAAAATTCAAGCCTCGAGTTGCAATGTTGAAGGCTTCTATGGGATTCCTTGTGTGGTGCTATAGGGTAAGCACTGGACTACAAACCACAAGACAGGCAATTCAAACCCACCAGCTGCTCCTAGGAAACTCTACACAAGGTCACTATGAGTCAAAACTGACTCAACATCCTTTAACAACAACAATAACTTGGCCAAAATATCAAATGATACAAAAAGCATCAAAAGGAGATGGAAGTAATAGAGTCATTGTACCAAAAAGAAATGGTCTATGTTCAGCCATTTCAAGAGGTAGTGTCATGTTCTGGAGATCCTCTAGATACCAAGAGTGGATGGAAAGGGCCTGATGGCTTAGTGCATTGACCTAGCTCAAGAGAAATTGATGTCTGTGTAGCTGTAATTCATGCAGCAGGTGCAACTTGTCAAGTGACAGACAAAGCTGCCACAGTGGCAGCCCTGGAACATCGTGACTGGCCTGGGCACCAGAGCCCTGGTGCTTTCTATTTATGGCTACACCTTCTTATCAATGTCCCAGGAGCATTTTCTAGATGAGCTAGAGGAAGAAGCCAAGGCTGCCCAAGCCTGAGCCTTGGCAAGAGTGGTAGGCCTTTGATCTTGATGGGTACCAAGCAACCCCAACCTGCTGGGGTCCCTTTACTAGATGGATAGTGCTCCATGATCCTGTAGAGAATGAAGCCTGCTTTACTAATCTTATACCATAACTGAACCCAAGAAGCCAAGGACTTATGCATTCAGTCATCATGAATGGAACATGGTGCAGTGACCAAACCCTTCTTGTAGTTTGTGTCCTGTTTTTTCCTAATAGCTCTGACTGGTTTCCCCTCTTCATACCTCAAGGTTAGCAGTTGGAAACTATCAACAGTTCTGTGGGAGAAAGATGAGGCATTCTGCTCCCATAAAGATTTACAGCCTCGGAAACCCTGTGCAGGGTTACTATGAGTCGGAACTGACTCCACGGTACTTAACAACAACAACAACAACAACCTCAGTGGGGAGACTGTTATGGTGGTGGGAGGTGGCAACTCCTAGGAGCATTGGAACCTGGGGTGGGAATGTTGAGGCCACGTTGAGAAAAAGAAACTGAAACACTTTCAAAAAAAAATTTTTTTTTCTATAAAAAGAAGAATGGATATTCTAGAACAGTTAATTGTGCTCATAAGAAACCTGTACATACACCAAGAGACGATGTTAGACTAGAACAAAGGAATATTGAATGGTTTAAAATCAGGAAAGATGTGTGCCAGGGTTGTATCCTTTCACCCTACTTATTCAATCTGTATGCTGAGCAAAAATAATCGAGAAGCTAGATTATATGAAGGAGAATGGAGGAAGACACATTAACAACCTGCAATATGCAGATAATACAACCTTGCTTACTGGAGCAAAGAGGACTTAAAATACTTACTGATGAAAATCAAAGATTACAACCTTCAGTATAGTATGCACCTCAATATAACAAAAACAAAAAAATCTTCAACTGGACCCATAAATAACATCATGATAAATGGAGAAAAGATTAAAGTTGGCAAATACTTCATTTTACTTGGACCCACTATCTACACTCATGAAAGCAGCAGTCAAGAAATCAAATGATGTATTATTGTATTAGGCAAGTCTGGTGCAAAAGACCTCTTTAAAATTTTCAATAGCAAGGTATGGTATTTTTAGTTAGCTTAATTAATATGCATTTGAAAGTTGGGGAATGAATGAGAAAGACTAGAGAAGAAACAAAACATTTCTATTATGATGTTAATGAAGTATTTTGCAAGTACCATGGACTGCCAGAAGAACAAAGAAGACTATTGGAAGCAATACAGCCAGATAGCAAGACTTTATCTCTCATACTTTGGGTGTGTTTTCAGGAGGTACTAGCCCCTGGAGAAGGACATCATGCTTGGTCAGAGAAAATGAGAAAGTCACCCAATGAAATGGTGGCAGTAACAATGGGCTCAAACGTTAACAACAATTGTGATTATAGCCAGTGTTTCATTTTGTTGTGCAGAGGGTCCCTGTGAATCAGCAATGACTCAATGGCACTTAACAACAACAAATAGATTGTTAGGCCTTTCTTCTGAGGTACTTCTGGGTGACCTGGAAACTTCAGCCTTTTGGTTATTAGCTTCTACCTTAAGTCTCCTATGTCATTAGTGTTGCTGTTGTTAGGTGGTGCCAAGTTGGTTCTGACTCACAGCAACCCTATGTACAACAGAATGAAACTCTGTCTGGTCCCGAGCCATCCTCCCAATCAATGCTATCTTTGAATTCATTGCTGCAGCTACTGTGTCAATCCATCTCATTGGGGGTCTTCTTCTTTTTCACTGACCCTCAACTTTACAAGCATGATATCCTCCAGGGACTGGTCCCTGCTGATAACATGTCCCACGTATGTGCAATGAATTCTCACTGTCCTCACTTCTAAGAAGCATGATAGCTACACTTCTTTTAAGAGAGATTTATTTGTTCTTCAAGCAGCCCATGGTATATTTCATATTCTTCTTTGACACCATAATTCAAATGCATCAGTTCTTCAGTCTTTCTTATTCATTGTCCAGCTTTTGAAGGTGATTCATGACTTGGATCTGGCACACCTTAATCCTTTTTTTAAAAAAAATATTTTCTTTTTAACACTTTAGAGAAATCTTTTGCAGCAGATCTGCCCAATGCAATACATTGTTTGATTTCCTGACTTCTTCCATGGGTGTTGATTGTGGATCCAAATAAAACGAAATCTTTCACAATTTCAATATTTTCTTGGTTTATCATAATATTGCCTATTGGTCCAGTTGTGAGGATTTTTGCTTTCTTATGTTAAGGTGCAATTCATACTGAGAGCTGTCATTTTTATCTTTCTCAGGAAGTGCTTCAAGTCTTCTTGGCTTTCAGCAAGCAAGGTTGTGTCATCTGCATATTGCAGGTTGTAAATGAGTCTTTCTCCAGTTCTGTTCATGTTCTTCATATAGTCCAGCTTCTCAGATTATATGCTCAGCATACAGTTTTAATGAGTATGATGAAAGGATATCACCCTGATACACACCTTTCTTGATTTATGTTTCTCATGAGCACAGTTAAGTGTACTGGAATTCCCATTTTTTGCAATGTTATCCCATACATTGTTATGATCCACACAGTTGAATCCCTTTGCATAGTCAATAAAACACAGGCAAGATTTAAAAAGCCTCTGAAACCCTATAAAGGGTTGCTATGAGTTGGAACTGGTTTGATGGCACTTAACAACATAGCAACAAACAT